AGTTCAACAATACCTAGATCACATGGAGAGGAAATATCAACATCACCATGGTTACTTGCTCTTCTCATTATTTGAATTAATGTGTACCTTATTTACTGTAGTTAAACAATACCTAGATCACATGGAGAGGAAATATCAACATCACCATGGTTACTTGCTCTTCTCATTATTTGAATTAATGTGTACCTTATTTACTGTAGTTAAACAATACCTAGATCACAAGAGAATAAACTTGTCATAGTCATTTGCCCCATTTATTGTCTGAATCACTAATATCCTTATGTTTCTTATATCTTTTACTACATTATTAGAACTGGAAAGTACAATTTTTATATTCCCGTACGTTAAGTACACTATGTAGAAATATTTATAATGTTTATGGATTTCTCTTTCTTACCTTACTATATTTTAGAGAATAAAAATACCGAAACTTAAGCATAATATAAGCTCGAGGGTTCGTAATCATACGTTGTTTGTTTTATAATATATTAATATTAATAATCCAGTTGATTTGATTTCACAATTAAAAGTAATATTTCAAATAAATAAAACAATTAAATATATCACATACGTATATAACTTGCAAGTCTTATATTTTTCACAGAGAGTTTATTCAAAGAATAACTATTATGAACAACTATATTACTAAACGCTTTCAGGAAACGTTTGTCATACATAATAATATAACTAATCTCATTCCAGGAAGAATTGTTATATATATAACAATTTAGTATTGGTGGTTAAAATGGTATAAAAACATACATTACTCTTCATTTTAAGAGAAAAAAATAATGTACGTCACATTGTTACTATGATTTGATAATAGGCGTATACAATGAATAAGTTATATATATTCAATTTGTTTGTTTATTTCGGATATTCGCGCAGAGCTATACGAGCGACATCTACGCTAGCCGTCCTTAATTTTGAGCTTGTAGACTAGAGGGAATACATCTACCAACCAGAATCTTCCGCCAACTCTCGGGCTACTCTAATCTAATAGTTGGATTTGACTGTCGCTGATATAACGCACTCACGGCCCTACATTTTGCGGCAACAGAACGAGAGCCTTAGATTCACCATCAGGCATGTTACCGACTAAGCCACGCCCTATCTCATACATTCAGACTTGAAAATCTCTCAGTTGTTTAATTCAGTGTTTCCCAAAGTGGGAGCCGCGGCTCCCCCTGGGGACCGTGAAGCTATTGCTGGGGGGCCGACAAAAATGGACCATAAACAAAGATGCTGAATTAATTTTAATTCTAAATAAACAATAAGCCGATAAAAATTATGTTGAGTTAATTAAATGATACAGTATGTTGAAAGGAGATGTTGTTGTTTTTACCACAGCACTGTTTTTCAATCACCATGGTAAAGTTATAGTTGGGGGGGGGGGGCTCAAACGTTTTTATTCGCATCAAGAGAGCCTCAGACTAAAAGAGTTTGGGAACCACTGGCTTAATTATTGGCCTAATCCAACAAAGCTCACTGGAACAAAAGAGTTAAATTTTTAAATATTTATTTAAGTATTATACATTGTTGGAAGTGTTAACATCAAACAGATATTTTTTGCAAGGAGAGGGAATCCATTGTATACTTTAAGGAAAAGTTCAGATCCAGCTCCTTTTGAGTGGATTATTCTATTTTTTTAACTTTATAACAACGTTTCCAGCACAATTGTGGTCATTGTCAACTAAACGTCCTCTATTGTATGAAATGATTGCGCGAGCGAAAGATATTGTTGAGAATCTAAACTAGAACAATTCCTTACTTTGGAATTACTGAGAACAGCATCTAATTAACAAAAAAACACAGCAACAACACTATATTAAAAACTAACTGGAGTACCCGTCTCATGGACAGAAATTATGTAAATTCATGATTAATGAAAGGTTATCTTAGGACATGAAAAGTTGCTTCCCTTGTATGTAATTGTAAAAAACACAAAAAAACTGCAAAACACAAAATGTGAAACCGCAACTTTGTATGTATCTGCCCATGGACTCATATAAAATATTGGATAATAATAGTTTCTACTACACTATATTCGTCATATCCATTGCCGACGACGCGTTTCGCTCAATCCAGAGCTCTTCAGGCCGGATGGGATATAATACCATTTACAAGGTTATTTATTACAATTATTAACAACTAAAAACGCTACATATTCACTTTTGATGGTGTCGTTACTGTTCAGATTGGGTGTAACTAATGATTTTAAGACTTCTTAAGTCTCTAAACGTTCTAGTATCTCTTCTTAATAATGTATCTATGTAAATATAATAGCACCGTCTGTTGTCTACTTCACAGTGTGTGGATGGATCTTCACCAAAATTGGCATGGGGGTTTATTAGGTCCATTTGGGAATACATACAAATTTTCAGTTTTGCGGTTTTTACCACTACCTCACCTTTCGTGGATGAATCTCCACCAAATTTGGTTTGGAGATTCAATCTTGAAAAATCCATAAGGGACTAGATTCGGAATGTGTTGTTTAAAAATATAATAGGCCTAACGTAATAATGTTTCCAGTTGTTGCGTGACACCTACATTTAGTGACCGTAGTAAACCGACCTGAGTACATTTCAGAAACACGTTTATTGCCATTATTAAATAATGCCAAAGTCGAGAGTGTTTCCTTCCTCACATTTAGATCATTATCATCACCCTTACAGACAACAAGAACTGCTATAGAAACTAGTCAATGTCAAACTTATTGTTGTGAAACTAGTCAATGTCAAACTTATTGTTGTGAAACTAGTCAACGTAATAACTAATTGTTGTAAAACTAGTCAATGTCAAACTTATTGTTGTGAAACTACACAATAAAAGAACTGTATTGTTGTGAAACTATTCAACGTAAAAACTTACTGTTGTAAAACTAGTCAATGTCAAACTTATTGTTGTGAAACTAGTCAACGTAATAACTTATTGTTGTAAAACTAGTCAATGTCAAACTTATTGTTGTGAAACTACACAATAAAAGAACTGTATTGTTGTGAAACTATTCAACGTAAAACTTACTGTTGTAAAACTAGTCAATGTCAAACTTATTGTTGTGAAACTAGACAATAAAAGAACTGTATTGTTGTGAAACTAGTCAACGTAAAACTTATTGTTGTAAAACTAGTCAACGTAAAACTTACTGTTGTGAAACTAGACAATGTAAGAACTGTATTGTTGTGAAACTAGTCAACGTAAAAACTTATTGTTGTAAAACTAGTCAACGTAAAAACTTACTGTTGTGAAACTAGACAATGTAAGAACTGTATTGTTGTGAAACTAGTCAATGTCAAAACTTATTGTTTTGAATGTATTTTCGTTTCTAAATTGTTGACATCGTCAATATTTGACAAGAACCACTACAGAGAAAAACAAATCATTTAAAAATGTGTTGCCGTGAATGTCTCTTCATTTTTCAGTAGTTGTCATTATCACCCAGTTAGCCGCAACAAGAAATATATATATATAATTTGTTTCTAGTATTTTTCAATGTTTATTATATACATTTTGTTATGAGAAATATCTTATATTGTTAACTTAGTATATGGATTTAGGACTAACTTAAATTTCCTAAGCTGGCTGGTCCTGTGGAGGTATTATTGGGACTACAGTCCGAAAATATTGCTAGTAGCAAGGCTACTCAACCAATGAATGAACCCGTTTTAATCATTAAATTAGCTATGTTCGTTACTGTGTTAATTTTAAGTCCTGGTCTATGATGTTAGTTTGCTAACAATGACAATTTGGTCCTTGATTTTTCCTCTCTCATAAACACTTGTTATCACGATGCATTTAGTTCGTAACAAGTACTACTACAAATATAAGTCGATTTTTAACTGTGTTCTCGTGAATGTTCCCCTTTAACTCCCCTAATCGATGGCTAATCGATAAGTCTGAGGACTTATAACGCTAAAAATCAAGTTTCGATACTCGCAATTGGCACAGCACAGATAGCCCATTGTGTAGATTTGTGCTAAATAACAATGAAAATAAAAAAAGTTATATTTGGTGTTACAAGGTCGTTTTTTTATTAGTATTAATACTTCAATAAATTGTTGGTACATCGTTTAATGGAAACAAGAGTTATCATTGTACAAAAGTAGTGTTAAACGTCTGTTGCCCTCAATAGTGCCCTCCCCCCCAATGTCATAGCGGTTTGTCCGTGGACTTACAGTGCTAGAAACCGGGTTTCGATACTCGTGGTGGGCAGAACACAGACAGCCCATTGTGCTTAACTACAAACAAACCCTCAGTTCTAGACGTTTCAACATTATAAGCAACTGCTCCACAAGAATTTCAATAAAAACTCACAGTTCAAATTTTATGGTTCAATTAGTCTCGGTATTGCCGGTGTTCAAATCACCATGCTTTAAATGAAAGGTTAACCCTAGAATTGAAAACCCAGACTTGTCGCATCAACCTAAGTCAAAGAGGACTATCCGCAGAACCAGGCATCGTTCTCCTTTCTGCGCCAGTCGTATCGATTGCGTCCGATTTAACAAAAAACGACGCATGCGTAAGTGGCTATATTTCTGTAATTTCATTTCCTCGTTCATTTAATGTTTTTTTTTTTCGTGTTGCGTTTTTATTACATTAATAAAAAAATAAAAGTTTTCCCACATACTTTACCTTGTTTGTTTGTTTGTAATTAAGCACAAAGCTACACAATGGGCTATTTGTGCTCTGGCCACCACGGGTATCGAAACCTGGATTCTAAAGCTGTAAGTCCACAGACATACCGCTGTGTCACTGGGGGGGGGGCATTACTTTTGTTCAGATGTTAAACTACACACATTTTTCAATAAATTAAAAACTATTAAAACATATTAAGAAAGATGGTGATCTAAATGAAGAGTTATCAGTTTTTTTACTTTTACTGAAGAAACTTGCATATTGGTAGGTCTAAGGTTTGAGTCGAAATATGCCATTGAACACTCTCCGTACTTTTAGCAGTGGAGGCGTTGTAACCGGGATAGCTAATCTCGCTAACTTCGGTTAAGAGTAATCGTGTTGGCGGCGGGTGCTGTTGACTGTCTGTCCTCCCTCTAGCTAGAACTGATGGCTATGCTTAAACCTTAAGGTCTAATCTGGCTGTTTAACCCATTTTTCGCATGAGGTACCACCAACTTGAAAATACTGCAACAAGAAATATTATTATACATGTTTCCTTATTGATGTTATCAAAATTTATAATGTTCCTTTACTGGATTTTTACCTATATTTATAATGTTCCTTTACTGGTT